ACTCCTGACGGAGAGTCCAGAAAGACCACAGGTTTGTTCCACACCGTGTCACAGCCACAGACGTCCACTAAAAATCACACATTTGTCATAAATTTCACAGCGCACGACTCCTTCCTGTGATCCCTGTCCATCAGAGCTGTTTGATCTTCACCATCAACACTCGTCTCTGGTTCCAGGGTCAAGAAGATGACATGTTTAACATGCTCTTTTTTTAAATTTTACCTGATGAGCCCGGTGAGTTCACCGTATCTAAAGCCCTGATTACAAAAAACAGACTTTAAATAAAGAGAACACACTCATTTGAAACTCTTTAAAGCCCAATTCTGACTTGAAAACTGCATAAACACATGAAACGTTTAAACTTGGACGTTTTTACTTTCAAATAAAAATCTGCCCATTTCTAATTCGGTGCCAGGAACACGCTCCAGTAAAGTCAGAACAAGTTCCCCGCTGTGATTCATCACCTCTCCCTTTTGACACTGCTCGCTGCATGCCTCCCATTCTTCTACTTCAGGTCTCCTTTGTTGCAGTTTTTGTTTCATAATCCTCCAGCTGGTACAGGTCCTGACTGCAGGCAGGCCGGTTTAGCAGCCGGACAGTTTCCCTCATACGTGTGCAGAATGAGGTTTGGTTTTTGTGTTACTGAAAAAAGCAACACCTTCTCTAAAAAAAAAAAGATTGAAAAAGCTGCAGCGTTAATGTTGCCCTCACAGATGTGGTGATACCTGCATCCTTGTGGATGCCGGCTTTGAACTTTGTGCCGATAACAAGCCGGATGAGCTGCTCCCAGCAGGTTTTTGATGGGGCAGCGCGACAGCGTTCACTTTGCCTCCGTCCATCGTTAATGAAAAGAAGGCAGCGGCGTTTCTTCAGATCGTTTATGGCTTGTTCCTGAGCACGAGCATTGATTTCCACTTCAGAATCGTGTGTGTCTGTAATGCTGCTTGAAGATCACAGCAAAGGTTTTCAGCTTCGTCTCTGTCAGCAATGAAGTTTTTTAACAATGTCATGAACAGTAGATAATAAAACCCCAAAGTTTATGAAATGTTACCTTCATGTAGCTTTATTACACATGTTCTAATGAAGGACCTCACCTTACTCTGTGTTTCGTTTTATACCCAATGTGACCCTCGAGAGACTGGTGTCTCCTCCTGGGATCAAACTGGGGAGCTTTCGCCTGTTAGGTGAACGTATAAACCACCACACAATAGACACTCTTCTCTTTTTACCAATCATGTTATCTAATTATCTAAAAATAAAAAAATAAAGTAAATAAATAGATTTTTTTAATCTTACTCCAGTCTTCTGTTGCCCCTGTCCCAGCTGTGTGAGACGTCATCAGATTGAAAAGGAACACAGTTTTTCCTTAAGAGCATTTTTTATGTTCTCCTTGCACAATTTTTAATTAAATGTCGGGTTTAGATAATCAGTATTCTATATTTTATTCTGGGAAACACGTTTGTCTAAATCTCAGCATCAACTGAATAATTAATCTGCTAATTTATTGAGATCTATTAGCTGCTCTGACACGTTTAAAGGGAATTTTTCATTTAACTTTTTACATTTTTTTATTCTCTGATTTTTCTACTTTTGTTCTGGCGTTAAAGTTCTTATAATACCAGGATCTTCATCTTTATCAGTTATTTACTTCATAACTTATTTAACTGCACAAAAGTCCATCCAGGAAAGTAACGAAGGTAAGGCCAGAGGCGAACCAGCAGCGGTGAAAAGGCTGTAAATACCTGCGAGTCTGAACCATCCTGTTCGCAGACCAGGTGTGGTCCGGCTCCAGCTGTCCTCAGGACGGGCACGTCCGCAACAGGAGCCGAGAAAAGGGAATTAAAACAGCTTCAGTCCCGCGGACCAACCCGCCCGTTTGCCAGTTAAACTCCGCTTTTCTCCTCTCAGCGTCTCTGAGCTCTGACTCGCTCTCTCTGACTCTCAGCTGAGTCTCACCAACAAGCTCTCCGCTGTCACCACCCCTCCACTTCCGCTCTGCCGTGTCAAAATAAAACAACAAAAGGAAGTCGTTTCACATTCCGCGGGAATTCGATTAAGCAATGACGTATGAACTGCGTACATCATGAACTGCGTTTATTAAGGCTGTTGTGTTTTTAACATGTTTTAATGCTTTCTATCTTGTTCTACTTAATCTGAACAAACCCCTAAAAAAAGTCAATAATCACTTTCGGCCTCGGTTTTTATTACCACTACCTAAGCTCAGTTTTTAAAACCTTACGATGTAACTACAGCTCAGCCCATGCAGCAGTCTCTAACCATCGGGAACCCTCACGTTAACTTTTATCAAGTGGAAAAAAGTTAGCATTCATCCTCCAGCTTCACTGTGCTAATGTGTTTATATTATGCTAACCATAGCTGTGTAGCTAGCACATCATTATATACCAGCTACTCCAAATTCAATAACCCTACAAACGTCACTGCTGTTTACTTTTCTGTCTTCATTTATGTCAGAAGTGATAGCAGAACTGCACGTTTTAATTTGCCAGTGAGAACGTGATACATCCTCTTTAGATAGAAACTAGCGAGCTAACTCCCTGCTAACTTCAAACTCAGTTAAACTTCATAAATTCTGTTTTCATGGATGCCTGGATGTTAAACAGTTACCCCTGGTAGAGCAGCCACACTGATCATTTTATTTAAGATGAAAAAATTTAGACAGTTTTTAACTCTCAGTGATGCCGCAGTGTTCGTTTGGGACCTGAAGCGGAGTTTGGCCGGCTAATTATGTCAGACTTAAGACCGGATAAAAGTCCAACGTTCGCTAGCAGCAGCGCCTTATGGCAGCACAGAAGTTTGAGATGTATTTTTAAAAGGTAAGTCTGTATGTCATAAGCACTCATTCCAGCTGTATGCTAAGCACTTGCAGGAACTATTTGAAGGCTACATGACACACGTTATGACCCTGAATTCTGAACCCTGCTAACACCACACTTACTTAAGGTGTCTGGAACAGGGGAAACATCTCCCAGTTACATTGGCATGTTCTGACTGAAACATACCTCCCACTCCCACTAGAGTCAGTCTGGCAGACATGTATCCTGAAGCTTAACCCTACTTTTGATTGGAAGGGTGTTTGGATCCCTCTGGGAATCCTGATCAACAACAAAAACGCTTAAATTTCATACACAGCATGAATATGACTCCATGTGGACTCTGATGTTTCGGGCACTGGTTTATCTCATGGTAACAATGGTGGCCAGTTTTGTCAGAAAGGTTTTAACACGTTTAACAACAGATAAATATTCGGTCGCCACCAGGTGCAAACCTTGTTGCCTGGGGTGGTTGATCAGTTTTACTGATGTTACTAATCTTAAGCTTTCCACTGAGTGTTTTAAAGTTTAGCAGAGACGATGGAGGATCTTAAAATCTTACTGAAATGAGACCCGGGGATTTACTGAAACATAAGCAAACATAAAATAAAGCACAGTGTAAAGCTAAAACAGGGTTTGTACAATTCTACTGAGTTTGAAGCAAGTATGTGGCATTTTTTTGATTTATTTATTTATTCCTTTATTCTTGAACTCTCATACGCAGCTTTCCTGTATTTTCTTTAAGTAGTTTAAAGAACCATTTCCCCGGGCTTCTTGAAGGACATTTAAAGCTCTTCTCTGGATGTTGTCTGCCTTTTGTTCTGCTGTCCACATGACTCCACACTGCTTCAGCAGTGTTGATGTCTGAGCTCTGGTGAGGCCAATCCATGACTGATTGTCGATGTGTCTCGGATCACTCACATGCTGAAAAATGGAGCTGTTGCTATTCAGATGCTTTCCAAATGGTATTGCATGGTGGATCAAACTCTGACTGTAATTTTCTGCTGACCTCCTCTGTACTCACTGCCGGCGATTTGAAATCTTTTGAGGACACTGCAAAGTTTTCAGCTAATAGCTGTTTGGAGTCACCTTGTTGTTACAAAAATATAATTTTATACCCGTCAGACCGCCATAAGTGCCTAAAGATACAAGTTAAAGTTGGTTGTTTGGTAAGTTGTCTGTTATCTTTAGACAAAATAAATGATATAAATAAAAAGAAATAAAAACAATTGTTCAAGTTACATTTATTTTATTCTCATACGAGCTCCATTTTTTCTCCTGCTGTTCCTGACTCTGACCTGCTGCTCTTATTTTGAAAGTGGCAACATCCTGATAAAGTGCAGCAGATTGAAGGTTTCTTTTCTGCCACATGAAGGTTTTCTGATTCTAATGTGGGTCTATTTTCATTAAAGACGGGAAGCTGGAGGACTGTATTTTGAGATTGTGCAAAATCTGCCAAAACTCAAAGATCGATTTCTGCCCCAGAAACATCAGAAATTAACAGATGTGTCAATAAAAACTTAATCAACGTAAAATATAAAATCTATTACTGACATTTGAAAAGTTTATTTTTTATTAATCTTTTCTATATTCAGGTTTATTTATGTAAAACGCTCATGAGAAAAAAAAATCTTTCATTAAAAATAAAAGTAATATGAAAATTTATGTCATTTTCATTGATACTTTATATTATAAATGTTGAAAAATTATGGTGAAAAAATTTAATTACATAAAACTTAACTTTAATTACATAAAAAATAAAAAATTACATAAAAAATTAAATAACTAAAAGTGGGAAGATCCTAAAAAAAGCTGTGCTGATGACAAATAAAAAAGATTTATTTTATTAAAAAAAAATAAAATTTGAACTTCTTTGTCAAATTGTTACTTTATTTTCACATTTTTCTACAATTTCTTCATGTGATGAAATCCTATTTAGTGTATTGATTGCTGGACATGTGTGAGACTTTTTTATTGAATTAAAATAAATGAATTAAGAGGACAAAGAGCAGATGCTCATCAGAAAACTGTTTCTTTGCTTCCAGCTGTTTTGATAACGCTGTGCCCCCCGCCCCCTCCCCCACCAACATTAGCAGAACAAAAGGCAAACACAAACACATAAATCACTGGCATTCACACACTCAGACAGACAAACACTGAGACTCCTCCTGTAACTGTCTGTTCTCACATTCTCCAGCTCAGCAGGACAGAAGCAGGGAATTCTGGGAAATAAAAACTTCCTGATGTGTACTTACAGACTTTCTGCAGGTCGGCTTTTCTCTCATACACAGATTTTCCCATTTTTCCCACCAAGCGCCTGCCTGGAGCCTCAGCACACTCTCATCATTCATACACAAACAGCCCAGAAGCCACACAAACTGGCTCTACTGTGTTTACTGGTTACACTGGTTAAAGTATTTATGAGCACAGCCACAAACAAGGGTCGCTGACTGAAATACTGCCCAGTATTTAAACTGTAAAAAATGACATCAAGAGCAGCCATCAAAGCTGAGAGGTGATGCTGTGCTTTCAATCTGTCTGTCAGACTGAGAAGATCTGAAGCCATGAATCAGCAAATCTGTGCAGCAACTCACACCCAGCCAAGAAATCAAGCTAGTAAATGATGTAAATGATATTTACTTCACATTAAAAGCAAGCAGACTCTATCAGAGAATTCAAATAACTTAAGGTAAAGCTGCAAGTGCCAAAAACTGCAGTTCCTGTAACGGCCACTTGAGGCTGACTTCAAAAGTGAGTCAGTCCTGTAGTTTAGATCCTACTGCAAAAAATATTTTGCCATCTATGGATCATTTTTGCCTTCATAACATCCATACAAGGCATGATTTTTTTTTTAAATTAATCTTCCTGGATCACAGAAAATATAAAAGACACACATTGCTACTGTGTGTTTGTTCTGCTTTGAAGCCACTTGTTAGTTGATGGCCTATCCAAATTATACTTTACAATCTGGTTGATTGATAAGAAAACCCTGATTTTAGCATGAAACCTCATATCATCAGGAGCAAGATTTGAAGAGATATTTCCATGAATGGGGCAAATACAGAAGAAGGAAAACGTACTGATTCGAATGACCTGACAGCTTTTAAGCATCGGGGACAACAACCCACCACACAGATGGAGGATATCGCTGCTTCCTGCATTCATACACCAGCGTCTTGTCTCACATGTGGGCGTGCTATTCCTTGTTTGGCAGAGGCATCAGCGGCACAAGTGAAGAAAAGCAGCTCCTTTTATTTTCACCGCCCTCAAACTGCAGATCTGCGCTCCCCCTGGAGTTCAAGGAGATTAATTAAATGATTTTAATGATACTTGCATCTGTTTTTTATGACCTCTCTGGTTACTGTGTTCTTCTGCAGTTTTTCTGTTCATTGTTCCCGAAGGTTTCAATCTCACTCAAGCTGCCTGATTAAAAAAACATGAAACACGTCAAAGGCTTTATCAAATGATCAAACGTGATTCTACAGCAGGCTGAAATCTAAAAGTGAAGGACGGTGGTGCAGAGTTAACACTGATTGGAAAAACATGCTTCAGCTGTTTCAGGCCAGCAGTTAATGCTTTAACACACTAACAAGTTTAACAGCTGCTAAAAACCAGCAAAATCTTAAGAAACAGATTAACAACCATCTTTGTGAAATGACTTCTGTTAGGTTTTAATAAACAATTAGTTCCCCAGTAACTGCACATATGCCATGAATATGACACTTATTACTCACAGCAAGCTTGATGTTTACAGGGTGATTCACAGAGATCGGTCCATAATGAGAACTGCAGAGTCTCTACTTAGCAGTGCGCACACACACACACACACACACTCCTCGTGCATATGGTACGATAACGTTTCCACATGCCCCTGGTACACTGCGCAGAACAACCTTGCCACACACACACACATACACAGCACTGGTCTGTTACATAACATATTGACGTGTCTGTCCAAATGCAGCAATTAGCATGACTTAAAGCTGTTAAAATGATGTCTGAATCTGTGTCAGCTCTCCTTGTGTTGCCCACAGGTGGCTGTGAGTGATTCTTCCCTTTGACTTTACTAAATATCCGCCGCCTCACACAGCATGCAGAAGAAAAAGAAAACCAGAGCTACAGTTACACACGTGGAGCTGTATTAATAACACGCTAACTCGTTCA